CCGGGAAAAACTGGGTGAACACAAGAAATTAGGAAGTGTTGTAGTATCAAAGGATTGATTAGTTTACAACAAATTAAATAATAATCACTCTTGTCCCAAAAAAAGTCTCTTTAAATCCCCCTATATATTAAAAGAGAAGTCACTTTAGTAATTTCTCAATAGGTGGCACTCATAGAGAGCTTCTAGGACTAATTCTCTTAATCTTATTGGTTGATTTTTTGGTAATTTTTTTTTTTCATTCAGCGTCCAAGAATTATTTAAGAACAACTTTGATTACGTTTCCAAACACTCCAATGCAATATACGATTGTCTCTTTTCTCGAATGTAAGAACCAAAAGCTGCGATTTTTCAAGGTTTCCCTTTGATCCTTGGAGTTCGATTTGGGATTATCTTCTTGATGGTGATTCGAAGGCCAAGCAAAACCAGATGAGTTCGACATATCCAGATCAGTTCTCAGAGTCATTGAATAAAGGTGGATCGAGCTCATCAAATCGATAGAAGAAGCTTCCACAAGAACGGAATGAAACATTTATATAGAGTACTGCTTCCTCGACAAGTTCGCTGATGTTTTCTTCTTTCTCTCCGGTGGATCGAGTTTCGCTCACTGTTCCGATAACTGCTTTCTCGAGTACCGATTGCTGATTCCGGTTAGGGCTAGGCCAGCAGGGTTACGAATCGATTTGTATTCATGTCTGCTATTGGGATTAATCTCATATGGGAAACATTACCAATCAATGGTTTTTATGGTACATTTTCTGAAAGAGAACTCGGTCGATAGTTTTTTATGTATTTGTTTGTGAGTTTCTTCTTTTCAGTTTGTTTCGTGGTATGTACTTGTTAACTAAAATGTCCTGTTTTTTACTGCTATTATGTTAGTGATGAATTATATTACTGTCCTCGCCTTTTTAGTTGATCATAGACCATTTTTAATCTTGTGGCAGCTTCAATATGCAAGGACAAGAACGCATGTAACTTACCTATCACAGAGAATAATGTCAGAATAAGTACTAGACTACATTATTAAGATCAACTAAAACGAGTGTTAATTTTTTTTTGCCTCCTGCTGTCTTGCCTTTCTGGAGCTTTGGAGTATGCAGACAGAATTGGTCTGGTCTCGCCTTTCAGAGGCCACATATCGCAATTTCATGACAGGGAGAAGTCAAGAAAGAAATACGGTCTGGTCTGTATTGTTATCCAGTTCTAGAGCTAGACCTCTTTCAGGTATATTCTTTCCTCCACAAACGCTTGATTGAATCTTGATTAGTGTCAAATAAGTACAAGTGTGAAGCTGGGGATATACCCAGTGACTTCTCCTACATAGTTGTTAGACTAATTTGAAACTTGCAGTTATCTTGGGCCAATGTTCGACAAGAGTTAAACCGAAAGATAAATTTCATAGCCTACTTAAAAAAGCCCAAACTGGTGTAATCAATTTTAAAGATAAGAACATATAAGTGTATATAGGATTACTTGCGCAAGTTGCAAAGTAACTTGTCGCAAGAAATCGTGTAATAAATTGTTTACACCCTTGGTCACATTACTTGCGCAAGTAGCAAAGAGATATGAGAATCGTATATTGTAAGTTACCTTATATATTTTATATTTTTAATGCTAATTGCATGATGAATAAAATCAACTTTTAAATTATTATCACATTTATTGATTTTTTAATCAAAATTGCAATCAATTTAAATTCAAAGACATAGGGAAACATCATTTAGTTTTTGATTCTCGACAATATAAAGATGCCTTATTGATTGCAAATCACTACTTGCGCAAATTAGTATTGATTAAATTCGGTTTCATAATCTTTCTAAATTGGAAAAATCTTATTAATTACTTTCCTTATATTCATTTTCGAAAACTTTCACAAGACATCGGCAATTAAATGCAAAAAGATGTGCAGACTTCAAACATTAGGAAAACTCGACAATATATAGCGCAATCCTAAAGTCTTACATATTATACAATACAGTTTTCTGATAATAGCAAATTTTTAAAAACGTTATGGCAATGGTTCAAGCTACCAAAAATCGAGCGTCTTTTATCAGGCAATTGAGACTGTGTAAAGATACATGGCGTATTGAGGTTAGGATTCCTTGTTTATGGAGAAACTACAACAGAGATTCCGGAAACACCTCGAAATGATTTTTGCAGATAAAGAAGTAAGTACATTACTTGATTTATCATTTACACGGTCATGTTTTTTCTTTTTCTTTTTTCTCAATCCAACTAATTTAATTTTATCTCATCACCGTGTAGGAGACAAGAATTCATGCTCAAGTTGGTGAACAGCTCATAAAACAATTTGAAGGGAAACTAACATAGAGCGATGCGAAGGTCATCCAGTTATTTAAACTGTATGATGCTATGGGTGATTATCAAATCACCGCGCATCCCTACAAAATTGGATTCTTTCAAACTACTTTTGTTGGACCAGTGGATGACTTCCCAAGTGAAGTTCCGGAGAAGTATCTTGTGGATTACAGTGATATTAATTATGGAAAGCTTGATAACAGTCGTTTGGTTGGTGAGTCAATTCATACGATTACTTAAGTTTCTGTATTTTTTTCGTATGCAACAATTTAAGTGGGATTTTAATTTCTTCTTAACTTTATTATGTAGATGTTATTGGCCAAATAGTTAACTTCGGATCTCTTGAAACAAAGTCATAAAAGGAAAAGATAATTTGAGGCTATTGATTGAGTTACTTGACCAAAAGTAAGTTTAAATACTTTGTCTTTTCTTTTAATCTATTTGCTGAGCTTTGAATAATCGATCCATTAACCTAACTTTATATTATATACAGTGATGTCAAGTTGATGTGTACTCTTTGGGGCTGTTATGCTAAACAAGTATACGATTACAATATGTTAAACATGTCCACAATGATTATTTGTCTTATCAGGTTATGTTCTATTAAGAGTGGAAAAGTATAGTTCCTCCACCTATATTTGTTTAAATGATTCATCTCATAACATGTTGATAAGCTCGTGCTTACTCCATATCTAGCGGGTATAATTCAACCCATATTATGCTCGACCTAACATTGGATTTAATTGATAATTTTAAAGCAAGGTACGTCTCCAGTGTGACAACTATCCACAGCTAAATCTGATTGTATTTTCATTCGCAGCATACTCAAACGTTTTTGTCTTATCGCTTACTTTATTGTGCAGCCTCCCTAATGATTCACTTGCTCTTACAAACAACGATAGTAGCCAATGGTCTGTTGGTAGTGCTACATCTGTTCGTGCTAGGTTTTTTGTGACTAATGAGAGGCTAACCATAAGAGAGATCATTGATAGTGATCTGGTATATATACTAAACCCAGATGAGAATAATTATTTGTACATTTAATATTCCATTTTTATTAACTTGACTTGACATATTTGCATTTTGTAAGGTTGGTACTTTTGTCACTCTTGTCACTATTGAAAGCATAGATGTTGATCGTGGGTGGCAATATCTAAGCTGCAAATATCACAACAAAAAAGTCATGCCAACAACCAATGTTGATGCTGATAATCGTCCCTTGTTCTTCTGCACTACATGCGATAAGGAACACATTGAGATAATTTCCAGGTAATGTATATTTTGATCGAGAGGAAGAGTTATTAAATGTATTTTTATGAAAGCCACCGTGACATTGAACGAGAGTAACGTCTATATGAGTGCCATTTATGACTTATGTTTTCAGGTTCAAATTAATTGCCAATGTTAAGGACGATTCAGGTGAGGCAAAGTTTCTTTTGATTGACACCAATGCTCAACTTATTGTGCGTCATCTTGCCGCTGAACTCTATGATGAGGTAGTTTTGATGAATCAATATTGTCTAATAATTATTTTGTATAGTTATCTTTTATGTAACCGAATATATATGATCGTAGAATGAAGATCCTGGCATCTTACCTGAAGCGGTTAGCGACCTTTGTGGCAAGAGATTTCTTTTTTGAGATTTCAGTTGATGATGATAACATCAAGGGAAAGACCTCTCAGTATGTCGTTCGATTGGCTACTGAAGACCGTGAAATGTTATGATTCAATGATATTTTAACACCTAAAATTAAAAATTACAACACATATACAATACAATTCTAATTACAAAGGATAGTATAAAATCTGTTACTTCTAAAACTATACACTATTTAGAAGTCGGATTTTGAATGAAAGTATCTTCTTAAACACACTAATTATTTTGGGACTTTGCAATTATACATACACACATTAACTGCCTCTTGATACTGGAGTTACTTTGTACCCTCTCATCCAATGTCAAATATTGAATACTGGCTTTTCTCCATGGCTAAAGCTTTCTCCACATGACGGTAGTATAATGATGTACAATCCGTTATTTCTAAAACTATACACTATTATAATAATTTTATGAACTTTCTTATGTCAATACAGGGTGCGGTAGGTCACCTAGTATTAATTAACTTTAATGTTGTTTCTTCAAAGGAGAAATACGCGTATTTAAGTAACAAAACAAAAGAAAAACACAATAAACCTAGACTTAGAGCTGAATGGAGAACGCTTAGTTTATCTTTGCCGAAATTGTTGACCCTAGAATTCTTCAGAACAAGGTTAAATTCTTTTAAACTTAAAAATCTTTCTGAATTCGTTTAGGTTAGATATCCTTAAGTGGTTTTTATTCAATCAGACCTTCGGAGGATACTGTTGGTATGGAGGATGCTATGGCTTCCTACACGGTTGACTTAGGTAGTCTTTAAGAACAAATAAGAGACACTTAAGCACAGTACCAAACGAGAAAAGAGGAGGAAAACGCTCGAAGCGTTAAGTTGCTAAAACGTAGTAACCGCATCCTTGCTCTTTGTTTGCTCCTCAAATAGCAAAAACAAGTTTCACATTGCCACAAAGAAAGAAAGAAGAAATAATAATACGAAACTGATGTTTCAAAAATCAAAAAATAATAATACGAAACTGACATTGCAATTTCTTTCTTCATCCCTACAGCACGAGAAGAGACTGTAGTTTCTCACTCTTTTCCAAAATCAGCATTATAGTGTGAACTCGACTCGAGTTTCTTGGCCTCGCTCAGCTTTCTAACCGCCTGCACAAATTGGTTAATTTCCAAATCACAAACCAAGATATCACAAACATGATTCAACCAAATCTCACATAAAATAGTACATACCTTCATGAAATCTTCGTGGATCACATAGTCCCGCTCTGCTCGGATTGCAAACATTCCAGCTTCCGTGCATATGTTACGCAGATCAGCACCATTGAATCCCTTTTTCCGGACAAGTGACACGTTTAGTGAGAAACTCAATTGAAGCTAAGGCAACACTCACTAACCTATTGTAAGAAATTAAACCTAACCTCCGCAAGTTTGACGATAGCCTCGTACTCTATTTCACCATTTTTGGCTATACCAGCTGCATGGATCTTGAGGATATCCATTCTTGATTGCTCATTTGGCAAAGGGATTTCAATCTTTCTATCTAATCTACCTGGACGGAGAAGCGCAGGATCAAGTACATCAGGCCTGTTCGTCGCCATTATCATTTTCACCTGATACATATTTCCAAACCAAGTTAAAAACACATTCATTCACACTCAAACATTATACATCACTGAGAATGGATTTTAATGTATAAGCAAGCAATCATGTGATGAGACAAAAGTTAGAAGAGACCCGATCAATCAAGACGGGCAATATATATAACTTAAAAACACATAGCTTCAGAAATAGAGAGAGCAGTACCTTTCCAAGGTTGTCAAACCCATCAAGCTGATTGAGCAACTCCATAAGCGTTCTTTGAATTTCACGATCAGCACTGGTTCCCTCACTAAAACGACGCCCACCAATAGCATCGATTTCATCCATGAAAATGATACAAGGCTAGCCAGAGAAAAAAAAAAGCATATAATTATACGAAGCTTATAGAAAAGAAAAGAGGAACAAGCAATCATATATACAGCCACTAAAGAGGCAAGACTAACCTGGTGGTCACGAGCATAGTTAAACATCTCCCGAATGAGCCTAGCACTTTCTCCAATGTATTTGTCAATGATTGCACTTGATACAACCTAACAAGAGGAAACAAATTTGATTAAACCTTGGAATATTCCAAAAAATTTCAAAATCAGCAGAGCACAGAATAAAAACCTTCAAGAAGTTGGCATCGATGTTGCTGGCAATAGCCCTAGCTAGTAGAGTTTTCCCGGTACCGGGAGGTCCATACAGAAGAACTCCCTGCAGTTAGATATTAATCAGAGGCAAAGAAGGAAAGGATTAAGGGAGGGTCTATGCAAAAAATAGGTACCTTTGGTGGTTTGATCCCTACTCTGAGGAAAAGTTCAGGGTTCATGAGAGGAAGCTCAATAGATTCCCTGAGTTCTCTGATCTGATCACCTAATCCTCCCACAGCAGAGTAGCTAATGTTGCCAGGGTCTTCGTGGAGCATGTTATACACAACAGGATCCACCTGAAAACAACATTATTGGCAAGGAGAAGTACACTAGGCGGGTACAAGAGAAACAAAAACATGGCCAAGAAAAAAGAAGTTACTTCTCGGGGAAGGGCTCGCATTATAGTAAGAGTAGTCATATCAAGAACAACTCGAGTTCCTGAGGTAAGCTTCTCCTTATCCACTTTGCTACGGCATCCCACTACATACCTAGGACCGCTGCTCGCTTTGACAATCACTAAAAAAAAAAAAAAGAGGAAGAAGAAGATTTTTTAGCTACAGGCACCAGAGGGCACAAGAACAAAGTACTAAAGGGGGGAGAGAGAGCAAAAATAAAGGTTACATCTTTCATTATCGAGAGGTCGAAGGACCTCTCCGATGATCTGGCCAACACTCTGAAGCGACTTGAGATCATCCTCAGTTTTGTTGAATTCCTTTTTCGATCCTCTCAAGTTCTCTCTAGCTGCAAAGACACTCAGTTTGTTGTTAAATCACAAAAAAAAAGATCAAAAACTTCAGATCTACAACAAACGAGATAACACACCTTTTTCGAAAAACCCCACCCATAAGGAACGAAGTCCTATTCCAACCTTCTTCTAAATAGGAAAACCATCAATCAATTCAAATAGGAGTAAGCCCGGAATCAAACCTGTTCGAACACGGGATTCGAGCTCCTTATGTTGGAGGAGCTTCTTCCTATAATCGGCAACCGCTGCGGTACGGCGTCTAACGCCTTCGTCCCCGTCGCTCATCCTCTCTCACTGCTCCCTCTCCTTCTTCTTCTTCTTCTTCTTCTTCTTCTTCTTCTACGGACAGATCTGAAACGAAGGAAACTTCTTTGTTCTAATTAACTTTTCTTGAGCAATGGGTTTAGTCCAATGCTAAAATACTGCTTGCTCTTCTTCTCTGCGACTCGGCCAACCAAACGCCGTCGTTTATCCTATCTAGCCTTTTAGATTCTTTCCTTTTTCTTTTTTAATGTTAAAGAAGTATTTTGGTTTATCAATAAACTAGTATTAGGATAAGACTTGCGCCTTGCGCAGGGTGAATATACGTAATTAAAATATAAAATTTTAGTATTAATAAATTTAAAATTTACATATAATTGTTTTTATATGTATTTGAAATTTTAGAATTTTGGAATTTTTAAATAATTATCTATACGTAAGATCATAAACAATTGTAATTAGAACTATAGATCAAATCTTAGAATTTAATGGAACCGATTTTATATAACTTTTCACTTTTTAGTGTTCGAGTGATCGAAAATAAACAGAGTGTCATTGGGCTTGATTGGTAGAGTATTAGCAAATTTCCTAATGTTTTTTTAAGAAGCACTTGGTAAAACAATTTCATTTAAAATATATAAAGTTTCAAAACTAATTTAATACTCCCTTCGTTTCACTTTATTTGTCATTCTAGGTTTTTGCACACAGATTAAGGAAATATTTAATTTTACATATTTCCAAGATAAAAACACAATTACTTATACACCTAACCACTTTTCAACCAATAGAAAAATAGAATATTATATAAAACTAATCAATTTTGCCTCGAACCTTTAAAACGACACTTAATTTGTGACAAAACAATAAGCCTAAAATGACATATATTATGAAACGGAGGGAGTATAATTTATTTATTTGTATAATAATATTAGAAAACTATATTTTTTACAAATTATTATTTTTAAAATAATTTTATAAAAAAATAAGTTAAATTTTAAATTATTTTTAAAAACAATATTGTAAGTTTTTCAAATACAAATAAATAATTTAAAATTAATTTTGGTCATGATTTAACATAACCATAATGATTTAAAAAAATAAAAAAATAAAAAAATTAACAAATTAAAAACTAACTCAGTTTTATATCATGATTTAACAATTTAAAAATTAATTATGGTTATGAGAAGTTTACGTTCACGTGTTAATCCTATTTATATTCAATTTTTTCTTTTGTTGTGTTTTTTTATATTTTGGTTATTGCTCGATAATTACTGATTTTGAAGTTTATTCTCATTTTGTTTATTTGTTTTGACCTGAGATTTAGAAAATACTTAAGATTTAAAATAATTAAAAAGATACATACTTAGGTTAAGATCTGCACTTTATGCACAATAAGTATTTTATATTTATAATTTATTTTATAATATTCTGCATATCATAAAATAATAAAATAATAAATATATATATTACATAACTAAGAAATCAGTCACTATTATGTAATAAATTGACGTATGCATATAAATTTAGGGGTTTTTGCTAATTTGACTCAAAACTCATGGTCAAACACAAAACTAACTTCTTCTTTTATCTCATCTTGTTTTTGTTCTATCCACCCCACATGTTCATTTTATTTACGAAAATACCATTAAATTTTTTTTTTTACTTTTTTCGAAAATGGCCTTTTTACTCTCTCAACCTCATCATCTTCAAGTATTTACAACATTGCCATTGCCATGAATACTCCCAACAACCTTGTACAACCCAACAACCTTGTACAATCAAGGTTTGAAGCTTTTAATGCACTTAAAATCGATACTCATACTCTCTTTCTCAATTGTTATGAACTAAAAACAACATCTCCTTCACTTTGTCTCCATATTCATGCCAAAAACCCAAGCTTTTGATAGCAATTTTTTTATGGTTGATAGAGCCATTTAAGCATACAATTGTTGGTGGGTTACTTTCGTTCGATGTTCTGGGTGGTTGGAGAAGACTCTGTGTGCAAAGGAAGTCATCTCACCTAGTTTAAGGTTTGAAATTGAATTTTTTTCCAGATCTCTTCGCGTAGAAGACTTACCCGTA